GAAACCCTAACTAAACTATCAACTCAATTGCTCTCAAAGCGATACCAGGAGGCCTCACGCTCCCTCTCTATTTATAAAAAAAAAACCCATACTCAAAGTAGGTGTATAACTCCTATTCATAATAGGACTCAATTCCACGTTACCAAAATCATACGAGCCAGAATCCTATCCCCATCCATATCGGACTCTGCATTTGATCTCCAGCCCACGTAGGCCCCTGTCTCCAGCTCGGTCTCCAGCCAACTGCCACCGAGCCGCTCTCTGCTGCCTGGGCCGACTCGGCTTGCCAGCCAACCGAAGCCTCCAGCCCAACCAACTAGCTGCACCTGCGCATGTCCTGCATGCTACACAAGCATACACCACGATACAGTATACACACATATATGCATGCTACAGTATCATATGTACTGTAGCACCATATACTCCTCACTAATTTCCTTCAACCAATTTCCTTCGCGAACACCGACGCTTGCACGCACACCTCGTGAAGACCGTTACGAAGATCTCTCCCCCACGATGTCCATCCACTGTATGCCATCTCGTATCCAACTTCCTCACTCGGTATCCTTGACCGTCTGGACCTCAACTCCTCCCTGAGCCTAGTCCCGATCCCCACCGTTAACCGAAGTTGACCTCCAAGAATCCTGACTCTAGTCACCTGCTCACATGGTATCCCGACCGCACTAGACCTCTGCTCCACCCTGAGCATAGACCCGGTTCTCACCATTGACCAAGGCTGACCTCAAGTCACCTGCACACAATCAGATAAAACAACCGTTTCTGGGCACAGATATCACAACCTGACCCACATTAGTCACACGCACTCACACCAACATTCACACAAACTCTCAAACCAATTCTTTGATTAAATCATTTGCATAGCCAATTGTTCATCATAAATATTAATCATAACAATGATTTCACACCTTTGCTTTCAATACTCGTAGTTATTATTCACCTTTTTAACTTTAACCATTCGTCTTTTCCACATAAAAATTATATGTATACTGACATATTATGGATCAATCATTTAAAAGGTATTAATGATTAGAGTTAAAACACTAATGGTCAGCAATGACAAGTACTCCCTTCATAGCACATCCCAGTACTATTAATGAGACATAACCCTCCTAATTCATAGTAAAAGAATGTGCATCCAATTAAAATTGCTTATATTTTGGGATTATGGACAGATTTCTAAAGAACAGTACTACTCCCTCCATCATTCATAAATTTATATTTTGGGGCTAGCCGGCATGGCACCAAGGCGGGGGGGCAGGGGGGGTGGTAGTCACGCGGCCGCGCATGCACGTATACAAAGTTTACGTAAACCCAAAATATACACGTATACAAACTTACGTACATACGTATAAAAACCCAAAATATACACGTATATAAAGTTTATATACGCGTATATAAAGTTTGAATACACGTATACAAAGTTTGTATATACAAAGTTTATATATGCGTATACAAAGTTTATATACGTATATATAAAATTTGTATGTATACAGAGTTTTATAATTACATATTAAAAAAGCGAAACTAAAAAGATACGGAAAGACGAAACATAAAAAAAAAAGGAAAACGTAAACCGCAAAAATAAATACGGAAAGAAAAAACAAAAAAGATACCGAGAGCGCCGGGAAGAAAAAAAGAAAGCGCCAAAAAAAAACCGCGCCATCCGCCGCCCTCCTCTCCCCACGCGACATCTGTCCAGTCGCGCACACGGGCCGGCCAGTCGCGAATTAGCCTTCTCGCCAAGGCTGACGCTCTTCATCCTCCTGCTCATGGAAGTTCCATGGCACGCTCCTAGGGAGCGACATCCAGTGATGGTAGGGGCTGTACAGATCGATTGTCGACTTCACCGTTCGCTAGTCGCTTCGCAAAAAACAAGCCATATCCGGCTGTAGAGCCCGGCCTACTCACAGACAACGCCAGCACTCGCCGCCACGCCCCTCAGCACCGGGATCCATGCATGGCACCCTCAGCATCCCCGACCATGCATGTACGCGCAACTGCTGCATAGATTCAAGATGAAGGATGAGGCACATCTATTCTCCTGAGTCCTGATGCCGGTGCTCGTTTCCGGGATTGTCCTCCTAGCCTGAGCCGCCTCCATCCCTGTGGCCGCTGCCGTAGGCCTGCCATCGAGGCGAGCGTTTGGGAAAACATTGTAACTTAATTATCAATTTGACACCGGCGATGCCGACGGGTAGAGCCGGATACCGATCCGCCACCAAGTCTCGCAACTTAATTATCACCGCCTCACGGCTTGGATCTCGTCGCACGTTGCCTACTGCGGATCCCGCCGCGAACACGACGATCACGACGGCGTGGTGGTGAGGTGCCGGTAGGGCATTCTACGGCTGGGTGCTGGGTGGATGGATCCAAAAATTTCGGGAATTGGAGGTTTGAATGGTTATGGGCTTATTGCTGGATACAAATACATATATAGGCGGTACAAATTGCAAAATGCAAGTAAAAATATTACTACTACGGTTAGGGGTGGATTGAAGATTGGTCGTCGGTGAGTTAAATTTTAACTATGCATTATGGACCTGGTGGGGAGCGTGGGTGGGTGGGGCTGAAGGCTGTGTCAGGTACTGTTTAGAACGTAGCGCCTTAAAGTGCTATATTATAGAAGTTAAGGAAATGGTAAAATGACATATGATGAGCAAAAAATGGTAGGTGAGGAAATAAATTAATACAAAAGGTTTTAGATGTGAAATAAAATAGTGTAAATGTGGTGGAGTGGATAGGTGGATAATAAGATACCGTCTTGGAACCCCAAACCCCTAATACGAATTTAAAGATCAAAATATTTTATATTATATTTTAAAATGAACTTAAAGATTAAAATTTTTTATATTATGTAATGGGGGAAATATACTATTATGATACTACTAGTAAGGTCAATATATAATCCAAAAGTGGTACTACAGTTTACAATCCCATCCACCCCAGGTTTTTGTTTGGTTTAGAGCAATATTAATTAATTGAATCCAATCAAATGACGTTTGATGATCTTTTACGCACATAAGTAGAATTATTTATGATAAAACAACTGAAGGAGTTGCTTTCGATTAGAGTGTGAATACTCGGTGAGCACGCCAGCAGACGAGAGAAGTTTAAGCGTAGATGTTGTTATTTGGGTGATCCAAATCCTCTTGTGTTCGTTCCCCCATGGTGGCGGAGCTAGGCTGCGCTACGCCGCTAGCTGTGCAATTCGTTGCAAAGCAGCCAAGCAGGTACGGTCCCTTCGTTTCAGGCGCATGCTATTGCTACTTGTCTTCATCATATATGTTCGTTGTTCAATTTTGCTATATATTTGTCGATAAATTTTACCCCAAAAATTTGACAGATATAATTAGAATACAATCGTAGTGTAATTACACTGTAACTTACATGTAATTACACTGTAACTATAGTGTAACTTGTACGTAACTTTTAAAAATCTCTTCGTAACATGTTATTTCGATAAAATGGAGGTTGTGGGAATAAATTCTTTCACATATGTGTGTGCTATGATTTGTTTTCTTCCTCACCAAAACAAATCTTGTAATAGATCTAACGATTCAAAATTATGTGAAACTTACATATAAGTTACATTGTAGTTACATGCAAGTCACAGTATAATTACATATAAGTTACAATGTAATTACACTACGATTGTACTATAATTACATCTGTTAAATTTTTAGGAGAAAATTTGTCGACAAATATATAGGTGGTCCCTTTGTTGTTACCCGTGATTTACTCTAAAGTTCTAAATTTCTCCGAATTTGGGATCTACAAGAGCAGTAGATACTTCCAGTAGATGAGGGAAGTTCAAGTGCGGACCGGCGGGCGCAGACGGCATCCCGGCAGTAGGCACATCCGCGGTTAGGTGGCAGCACGCGGCGCCGCCGCCGCCGGTCGTTCGCAGCCAGTCGGCAGTGTTCGGCCGCTGCAAGACCATTTCTAACACCAAGCAGGCAAGCAATTGTGTCCTCAGCCCTCACTTCTCCGTGTCTTGCTATCTACTCCCTCCTTTAAAAAAAGACAAACCCTGATTTCCGTGTCCAACGTTTAACCGTCCGTCTTATTTGAAAAATTAGAAAAAAAATTAAAAAGACAAGTCACGCTTAAAATATTAATCATGTTTTATCATCTAACAACAATGAAAATACGAATTATAAAAAAATTTCATATAAGACGAACAGTCAAAGTTGGACACGGAAATCCAGAGTTTGCCTTTTTTTTTTTTAATGGAGGGAGTAGTAATCTTTTCATGTCCCCAAGGTGTTTGATGAAATGTGGCAGCGAGCCATATAACCTATGCGCTGCTCAGACTAGTGCGTGAGACAGGGGGGGGGGGGGGTTGTGGTGTGAGGATTTTCCTTTTTAAAATAAGTTCAAAGAATATTGGTAAATTTCAGTCTAAGTAAAAAATAGGTGGCCCATTGTGCAGTTCACCTAACATTGAAAATTTCAAAATATTTATCATCAAATGGCTATTTACTAATATTCCGTTTCTACCATATATAGACGGATTACATCAAGGCATAAAGATCAGCTTCCAAATCTTACTGAGTGTATTCTAGCCAAGAATAAGCATGGCAGAAGCCTTGGTTTTTGTTGTCCTTCAGAAAATAGGAGCTATTTTAGGGGGGCAGGTGCTGAATGAAATAAGATCGCAATTTGGAAAGAAGTCACTTATATTTGAAGTGGAGAACAGTGTGATGGAACTCGCAAGCGAGTTTAGGGTCATGCAGGCTTTTATCAACCATGTTGGAATGTGTTCACATCAAAATGCAGCTTATGAGGCCTGGTTGGATGAAGTAAAGTCAGTTGGGTTTGATGCTGAGGACATAATTGAAGAGTATGCATATCTTATTGCGCAAACATCAAATGAAGGCGGCTTGATTAAGAGTGTATTACATCGATCCATCAATGCATGGTGCCATATTGCGACACAACTGAAACAAATTGAAGCTCGTTTACAGAAGCTCACAGCCATGAAAGATCGTTATGGTATTTTGATCAGTGAACAAAAACTGGGAAGTAATCCCAGTCATGATGATCTCAAACTTATGTCGGATTCTTTGTATTTTTACTCTCAAGATGATATTGTAGGAAATGAAGAAGAACTTGCGTGGATCACACAGCGGCTGATACAAGGACGGAAATCCCGTACAGTCATCTCCATTTGTGGCATGGGAGGTTTAGGGAAAACAACTCTTGCCCGAGTTATATACAAAAACAATGACATTAAAAAACAGTTTGATTGTTGTGCATGGATTTCAGTGTCACAAACTTATCAAGCTGAAGATTTGTTGAGAAGAATATTATAACAGCTCCTAAACATGGATGGGAAGACTTTTCATCACATATATGATATGGATCGAATTAGTTTGGCAGAAAGATTAAGAGATCACCTGCAGTGCAAAAGTTATCTAATTTTCCTAGATGACATGTGGAGTCGAGATGCTTGGATATTCTTAAATCATGCATTTGCTACAAATAATAAAGGTGGACGGGTAATCATCACAACTAGAAATGAAGATGTTGCAATATTGGCTGATGAGGACCATTGTATTATGCTAAAGACTCTACAATGGAAGGAAGCATGGAATCTCTTTTCTAGAAAAGCCTTTCCTAGTCGAAAAGAAAATCAATGCCCTGAAAGTGTCGTACAATGGGCGGAGAAAATTGTGGATAAATGTAAAGGGTTGCCACTTGCAATAGTTGCTATTGGGAGTCTACTTTCCCACAAAAAGAAAGAAGAGAATGAATGGAAATTGTTTTATAACCAACTGAACTGGCAGCTGATCAATAACCCGGAGTTGAACTTTGTGATAGCTGTTCTGAATCTTAGCTTTGAGTATCTACCAAGCAATCTAAAATACTGCTTCCTGTATTGTGGCCTATTTCCTGAAGACTATCTGATTAAAAGAAAACAGATAATTAGATTTTGGATAGCTGAAGGTTTTGTTGAGGAAACTGGAGCCAATATTACTATGGAAGAACTAGCCGAAGAGTATCTCAAGGAGCTTGCCCAGCGTTCACTTCTTCATGTTGCAGAAAGAAATGTGTATGGAAGAGCAAAGTCATTCCAAATGCATAATCTTGTAAGAGATATGGTTGTCAGTAAATGCAAGACCTACAAGTTTTCTGATCTTGTGGTTGACCATTGTGTTACAAAACACAAATACAAGACGCGTCGTATATCAGTATTAGAAGCTGATCATGCCTCTGAAGCACCTACCTATGGAGAGAAGGTTCGCTCATTTATCCTGTTCGATAAGAAAGTACCTTACTCTTGGTTGGAAACTGCAAGTAGAGATTTTAGATTGCTAAGGGTGCTGTCCTTGAGAAGAGCAAGCATCCATAAGGTCCCTGATGTTGTGAGCAATTTGTTCAATTTGCGCTACCTTGATTTGGCCTATACAAGAGTTAAGGTGATTCCAAGATCACTGTGCCGACTGAACAAATTACAGATGTTGGACCTTTGGTTCACTGGCGTTGTCGAACTGCCTCGAGAAATAAAGCTGCTAACAGAGATTCGGTACATGGTTGCTACTGTCATGAGTGAAGATAATCACAGAATTTTCAACTGCTTCCTGCCAGTTCGATTTCCTTGCGAAGTTTGTCATCTCAAGGATTTACAGGTACTAGGATACATAGAGGCAAGCAAAGATATGATTTCTAATCTCAGAAACTTGAATCAACTGCGCAACCTTTTCATGATGAAAGTGGAGCATAATTATTTAACAGAGCTATGGGCCTCTATCAAAAGGATGCCAAATCTTGTCAGGTTGGATATAATCTCGTGCGACAGCGATGAAGTTTTCAACATGGAGCACTTGGACCCTCTTCCAGAATTGGAAACATTCCATCTTAGAGCAAAGTTACAAGATGGTGTTCTTCCCAAGATGTTTCATGGTCTTGTTAAAATCAGAGACCTGGAGATGGGGTGGTCAGGGTTACAAGTAGATCCCGTTTGTACCTTTTCACATATGTCGAACCTTACTGAATTGCGTCTTTACAGGGTTTATGAGGGGGTGCTTTTGAGCTTCCAAGCTGGTTTGTTTCCAAAACTCAAGAAACTCTCCTTGGCTGATATGGAGAACCTCACATGGATTGAAATGGAGGATGGCACCATGCAAAGCCTAAATTTTATTGCACTTATTGGTTTAAGAAACTTGAAGGTTGTGCCAGAAGGATTTCAATATCTAATGTCACTCCAAGAGATGTTCCTTCAGGATATGCCACAAGAGTTTATAAAGAGGGCACAAAGAGAAGACCGGGTTTACATCCAGCACATCCCTAAGATACGAAAATTTTGACAAAGCAAATTCACTCCTATGATTGTAACCTTTTTACCTTGGCCTTGTGCTGGAATGTAATTATAGCAAAGTGCACGGTTGGTTGCAGCTGTGTCAACTAGGTCTCCAAATTCTCAAAATGCAAATCCAGGTCCTAGAAGTTGTTAAATTGCATTATTCTGGTCACAAACTACGACAACCCTTTGAGATCTTACATGGTGCTGATGTAGAATTGGTAACGATGCTAGTCGGTGTAGAATTGGTAATGATGCCACGTCAGCACCACATGAGATCCTGGATAAGTTGTGTTAGCTTGGGACTAGAATGACACGATTTAACATGTTCCGTGACCTGGATTTTCATTTTAATAGTTTGAGGACCTAGATGACATAACAACACAAGTTTAAAGACCAGCTGCGCACTTACTCCAATTATAATATTTTCCATGTGATAAGAGTAAAATACATCATATGATTACTATGAATAGAGAACTCAACAAGATGCCGATATTTGAATGTCCAATTATCGAAGTGTCCAGCATATGAGTACCTAATCCTGAGAGATTTTTACTTTTGTTACTAGAGGGAGTAAAATTTTTTGTCGACTTCTTGAGCATGGTTACGTGGTTATGCCTATAGACGGTGGAAATGGTGGCCATCGAGAAAGCAACAGGGGAGACGGAATTAGTTGACTTTTGTACAATAAGCCTTACTTGATGTCCAGTAGTAAGTCTGCGTGGTTATGCCTATAGACGGTGGAAATGGTGGCCATCGAGAAAGCAACAGGGGAGACGGAATTAGTTGACTTTTGTACAATAAGCATTACTTGATGTCCAGTAGTAAGTCTGTTTAAACACATCAAATGGGGCAACAAACAATGGTAGTGAGTTCAACCGTACAATCCGTGGTTGAATTTGTTATAGAGAATACTTCTAAGGCCCTTCACACTAAGGCCCTTCACAGTACGAGTACGTGGCTCGTGGGTTCGCTACGACACGTCGGAGCCGGACTTCCACGTCGTTGTGGGTCGGTTCCCAACTTGGTAGCGCAGGTCTTTGTGAGGTATCGTGTTTCTCACCTGCGCAGCAGGCAAACGGCGCTGGATCTTGGCTATTGTCTGCTATGGAGTAGTACTACTGAACCTGGACCCACTTAAAACCCATTTGAAAGGCAACTAGCACTGTCAGAGCTGTGACCCAAACCTTCACTAGGCCTATTCGGCACACGAAGTTCCAATAGTGCATACAACGTGTCAAGAAGCAAAAGCAGAATCAGAGAAGAAGATGATATCAATGACATTTCACAAGTCAGTCGTTGTCACCAAAATTCCACATTAGGGTGATCATGTTAGACAAACCAATTTATGTAACAGTTTAAACTCCAATATACGTCGGATATATTGTTCAGTTGTAAATTTAAGAGAAATCAAGCAAGGAGGTCGGCCATCTCTTTGGTGTTGGGGTTGTCGGTGACATGGGACCGGGAGTATCATGACTAGAGGCTTGAGGCAGACACGATCACCCACGTGGCCTAACCCCCTCGGGGGGGGGGCCCGAGGGTGATGTGGCCGCCCTTCTCTTTGTCTCCCCGAGGGGTCGGACCGCTCCCGTTTCGGCCCCGAGGGCCGAGGCGCCCCGACCCCTTGTGGGTTTTACGCCGCATGTATGGGTTAGGTGAGCACAGCAGGGCTCACCTAACCGCATTTATTGCGTTTTGGACGAGCGCGTCACGCCGCATGTAACGCAGTGCAGCGCGCTCGTTTATCCGGTCTGTGACCGGTCACAGACCGGTCAGATTGCGGGTTAGGTGGCAACAGGCGATCTGACACACGCCTCGCCCCATCCCGTTAGGATGAGAGCCTCTAGGCACTCGTCCCTAGCCGGAGCCAGCGTGCTAGCTCCTGGAGATGGCACGTTGGTCCCGGTCAGATATATACCAGGCTTCATCCCAACCATTGCAAGAAAGACATTGTATGAAGAAGGGCAGACATGCAGTTTGCTAAGCTGACGCGTGGAGGACAAAAATGACTGGTTTGTCACCGATCTGACACTGGTCATGTCATCGGTAGACAACCGCGTTCCCACGTTGAACCTGCTTCCGGCGGAGTGGAGGTAGGTATGGGCCGTCCCATCAGAAGGTCATTCGGACAGCAGCCATTGCAAGTCTCCGCCCATTTATGAAGGGATGACAGGGTGATCCCCGAGGTCAGACGAGTGAGGACGCGTGGCCACACTAAAAAACAAGCTTCCAAGAGAAGGCGAGCCAAGTTTTAGTAAAGATAGGATGGGTCCCCACCCAAAAGAAAAAGAGGTAGAAGTGGTGCATGTGGTATCCCCTTGAGATATAAAAGTCTCGTACTCCACCGCCCCCTCCACGCCAAAGTCCTAAGCGGGGGGAGGCGCTCGAGAGGGTCGAAAGATCCGCGACTTCACCGACCGCGGGCGATGGAGAAGAACGGCGAGACGGGGAGCGTCGCCTCCTCGTCTACGGCGATGGCAGCACGCCCCAGGGCGCGCTCCAGGCTGCAGGCGCGCTCCTACGTCACCCGCCCGTCGTCCCCGATCCGGAGTCTCCAGCCCAGCGTTGGCTGGACGACGTGGCCAACTTGGTCATGACGGCACGGCAGCGCCTAGGTGCTGGTGGGCGGTCCTCCGCCACTAAGACCTCTGGCGCTGCTACCACCGGCTCCATGTCGTCAAGGCGGAGGGCGCGGCGAGCGGCGGCCGTTGCTCGCCATTCGGCCGCCACTCCCTCGTCAGCACCTCCGACCCGGGAAGATCAGCGTGGGGGGCCGGATGCCCACCGCGGCTCCGAACGCCGGCGTAATGGTCGACATGCTCCCCATGTAACGGAGGGCGCCTCCTCGTCCGGAGTGTCACCTCAGCACGGACGCGGGGATCAGCCCTCCGTGCCCCCGGTTGGTGGTGTCGGCTGTAGAGCCTTTGTGGCGAGCCTTCGGAATGTCCGTTGGCCCCCAAGGTTCCGGCCCACCATCACCGAAAAATATGACGGGAGCGTCAACCCCGCCGAGTTTCTCCAGGTCTACACGACCGGGATCGAGGCCGCTGGGGGTGACGACAGGGTCATGGCGAATTTCTTTCCCATGGCCCTGAAGGGACAGGCGCGGGGTTGGCTAATGAATTTGTCACCCGCATCGGTCCACTCTTGGGAAGATTTGTGCCAGCAGTTCACCATGAACTTCCAAGGCACGTATCCACTCCCAGGTGAAGAAGCGGACTTGCACGCGGTACAGCGAAGGGATGATGAGTCGCTTCGCTCGTACATTCAGCGGTTCTGTCAAGTCCGCAACACCATACCATGCATCCCTGCACACGCGGTGATCTACGCGTTCAGGGGGGGCGTGCGGCACAACCGCATGCTCGAAAAGATCGCCTCCAAGGAGCCCCAGACTACCGCGGAGCTTTTTCAGCTCGTGGACCGAGTGGCTCGCAAGGAGGAGGCCTGGACTTGGAACCCCTCCGGTTCCGGAGTGGCAGCTTCGGCCGCCCCCGGATCCGCTGCTCGGACAGGGCGGCGTGACAGGAGGAAGAAGAAGAGGTCAGTCCATTCCGACGACGAGGGTCATGTCCTCGCCGTCGAGGGCGCTTCGCGGGCGACCCGAAAGGGGAGGCCTGCGAGCGACAAAAAGAAGGAGGCCGGCGCTCCCAGCAGGGAGCGCCCAACCGGCAAGTGGTGCACCGTCCACAACACCTCCCTCCACGACCTCGTGGACTGCCGCGCAGCCAAAAGTTTGGCTGAGCGGACGAGGAAGTGGGAGGAGGAGAGGAGGCAGGAGCGCCGAGAAGGCAAGTCCCCGGCGGTTCCCTCTGGCAATCAGCGAAGTGAGGCCAAGCAGAAGGCCCCCGCCGAGGACATCGATGACGGCGATGATGACTTAGGTTTCCAGGAGCCTGGGGCCACCATTGCCACTGTCGATGGGGGAGCGTGTGCTCACGTTTCTCGCCAGAGCCTCAAGGCCATGAAGCGAGAGCTTCTGGCCACGGCCCCTACTCATGAGGCGACGCGTCGGGCGCGGTGGTCGGAGATTGCCCTCACCTTTGACCAGACCGACCACCCACCGTGTGTTGCCCGGGAAGGACAGATCGCGATGGTGGTTTCCCCCACCGTTTGCAACGTGAAGTTGGGGCGTGTCCTCATAGATGGTGGGGCAGCCCTCAACATCCTTTCCCCCGCAGCCTTTGACGCCATCAAGGCCCCGGGGATGGTGCTCCAGCCGTCCCAGCCGATTATCGGTGTAACGCCGGGGCACACTTGGCCGTTAGGTCATATCGACTTCCCGGTCACCTTCGGTGGATCCGCCAACTTCCGCACGGAGCGGGTGAACTTCGATGTGGCGGACCTCAGTCTGCCCTACAACGCGGTCCTAGGGAGGCCCGCGTTGGTGAAGTTCATGGTGGCGGTCCACTACGCCTACCTCCAGATGAAGATGCCGGGCCCCGGTGGCCCTATCTCTGTCCATGACGACCTCAAAGTCGCGCTTGCTTGTATGGAGCAGCGCGCGGACCACCTCGCCGCCGCGTCCAAGCCCGAGGGTGGTGACGAGAGGCTTGGCACCTCCGTCCCCGCCGCCCCGAGGCAGCGGATGATCACGTGCGACGAGGTCCCGGTCAAGGAGGTTGCCCTGGGCGACGGCCCGTCCAAGACCACACGGATCGGTGGTCTTCTGGACGGCAAATAGGAAGACGCGCTCGTCTCCTTCCTGCGGGCAAACG